GCTTTCAGATGCTGCTTACTTGCCTGCCGTGGCGAAGAAAGAATAGTTCTGACGTTCAGTTTCGATATGGAGAATATACAAAACACTTGTCTGGCACCGCCTGGGGTCCTATACCTAGTGAGCTATACAAAACTTGTAAATCCGCAAGTTTGACAAAAATAATAGCTCACCAGGCCACCGCGGACGGTCTTTGACTGCACACCTTTCACGATCCGTAATTCCGCTTATATATTATTACATTCTCTCAATCTCAATTCACGCCGTCGACGAAGTTTATACCGACTTCCCAATTTTTCGTCAAGTCGTAAGCACAGGCCACCCAGACGAGAAGTCCAGATAGTTAAACCCAAACTGAAAGTCCTTATACTCATACCCGATGCGTGTATCCACTGTTAACCGTCAGCATCCAGACCAAACAAAGACGGAAAAAACTAATCAGAAGCCAACATACCATAGTGATAGTATATCACAGCCCGGCCCCCATCATCAACCAACACCCCCTGCCCCCCAGGCGCATACACAAACCCATGGCTCCCCAGCACAAGCGAGCCCCCATTACCCGAGAGACAGCTCTTCCCAGCCTGATCCACAAACGGGCCGGTGGGCGACTCCGCCCGGCCCACCATCACCTTATACTCCTCCCCGGCCGGCGCCAGATCGTCCTGCGCCTGGCAGCACAGCCCGCTGGAGAAGAAGAGATAGTACCACGTCTTCCCCGCGACTGTTGTCGAGAACTGGAACCCGCCTTCCTCGACCGTCGTCGCGTCCGCCCCGAGCCGGATGGTCGAGTTGTACACGACGTTTGCCGGGGCGGCACCGGACCATTTCGTCGGATCGTCGGCGGAGAGCGTGGTTTGGAAGATGTCGCGCCAGAAGGAGCCGAAGATGAAGTGGCTCGTGTCCCCGTCGCGGAAGAGGTTCGGGTCGATGAGGTTGTAGTCTGAGCTCTTGGGCAGCCCGAGACTGCCGTGGTCGGTCCATGTGCTGCCGGCCTCGAGCGAGGGCGATGTGGCGACGCCGATGTCTGAGGCTTGGCTGCCCGAGGTTGACACGGCGTAGTACACGTGGTAGGTGGAGTCGATGAGGTGGACGTCGGGCGCCTGGGTGAGGTGAGCCACGTTGTATTGGCTAAGTTGGGCATGGATGTGGAGTGACTATGGTGGGTTTACAAGCTTACTTACCCACAGTTGCTGGTCGTCAGCGACTTTGATGATGCTGCCCTGGGGCAGCATTTGTTGCTGGTACGTCCATGGCCCGTTGAGCGAGGGCGCGTTCGCGATGAGGATGTTGTCGTTGGTGGAGAAGCGGTACCATGTATCGCCTTTCTTGATTAAACTCGGGTCGTGTATAGCGCTGTTGTTTCCTGTGCATGGCTCTGGATCTGGCCACGATGCTGCGGCTCGAGGATGAATTGGTGTCGCGGCTACCAGTGCCAGCGCTGCACTGACGAGCAGCGAATAGGATACTATAGAATAGGTCATTTGGAAGTAGTGTAGTTAGTCCCTAGTACTGAGGCGATTATTCTATTGTCCTGGAGCGCGAGGAGACACATTTTAATATACAACCCGTCCTCGACGTCCGTGTCCGCAGCTTCACTCCGGCAGTTCCACCATCGTGCACAGCTTCTGACCACAGCCTTCTTCGGACAAGACGGTAGGAGCCCTGCTGACTGTCTTGGTTCGAATGGCATGAGATGGAGTGGGCGCACGTGCGGTGCAAGGGAGAGCTGATGGTCAATCTTTGCCGGTTTAATGTAGATCTACATGGCCCCTGTCGTGGCATAAGCCTGCGCCCATCCAATTATAGCTGCGAGTCAGGCAGATGCAATATAATGCTGTGCTGGCATTCCCTGCAACTGGTACGTAACAATGGGACGCAAAATTTTGTTGCTGCGAGTCTGAGTGAGAGTGTCAGCTTTGAGGTATGATGTCATATGCCGTGTTTTCCGTGGATTTAGTATGAATTTTGGAAATAACGATTCTTGAATCATGCTAATGATGCCGAGCTTGGTAGAAGGAAAAGAATAGCCATACACGGCAAGGCTAATGCTAGTGCAGTGTTAGTATGATTGTTTGTTGTAGGCCTAAATGTGTTCGGTTCTTGGCGCTTCTGCTCTTTTGCACGCTCTGTACTGTCTAGGCTTCCGTTCTGGAGTTTCAGGAGTGGGACATGACAACGAGAATAAAGATGTCGAACTGCTTGCTCTAGAAACTTGTTACATCAGATCATATCATATGACTTCCTTTCAACTAGGCCTCTTTTAGAGTAGGGCCAAGCTTCACTTCTAAGAATAGTGTGGAAAAGGACGGAGAGAAAGTCTAAACGTCCTACGTCTTTACCTAGATCCAAAGATCAGAGTTCCCAGTTTGCCAGCCAATGTAGAACTGGCCTCTTGGTTTACGTCTGTGTCAATCCTGGTATAAGTTTTCGTTTCGTCTGACTCGCCCCTCTTAGCTTTGGCCGCCGCATCTTCCCACTCCTCTGCCAACTGACAGACGTTAGTCAAAGACCAAAGACCAGCGATTACATGTTTGAATTGTCAACCTACCTCAGTCATCTCTTCGACCACGTGTACGATTCTCCCTTTCTTACCGCCTTCTTGCACTTCGCCGTCGCCGTCCTCCCACACCTCCGTCTTCTTGTAAAAGGGTATCAGCCACCAAGATGCAGAAAAATTCACCGCAACCATCTGCCTGCGAACCCTCTTCCACCTCCTCCCCGTTCCCTTCTCCACCGGCTTATCCAGCCACCCCTGCACCCTTTCCCATTTTTTGTCCGGCAAGTCAAAGTTCGAATAGTTATACATGTGCATCAAGACATCAATGCTAACATCGTCCACGCACGGTAACCGCGCCAAGACCTTCTCCAACGCCGTAGCTAGCTGATCCGGCTGCGAAGTTTCCACTAATGCCGGTCTTGTAGTTTCATAAGTCTGGTCCGGCGAGCCCGACACGCGGTGGAAGCGTAGACTGCGTAGGCTTGGGACAGGATCCGCGCGTTTTTTGGGCGGACCGTTCCACCAAGCCCACCCGGGCCAGATCGCGAATTGAAGCTGACGGACATGTTGCATGATGGGGAGAAGGGAGAGGAAGGTGGGCGAAAGAGAGGTCCTCTCTGGAACATGCATCCCACCAAACGAAGCATGCACATGTTGGAGAACATCCATCGTGATTTGTGGCCACATGTCTGTCTCCAGAAGCTTTTTCGCCTCGTACATGCTGCTTGCACTAGAAGGGTCGGGTTCCACCAAGCCCTCACATTGTTTCCGCAGGCGTGATTGTTTGGGGCTCGAGTTGGCGATGTCGATGAGGGTTTGAGTGCATTCCGCGCGGATTTGCTGGCAGACGTGGAGGAGGTAGATTGGAAACTGGGCTGGCAGGAAGATAGTTTTGTCGATGTAGTTGGGTGGTGGTTTGGCGAAGTGGTGACTCGAGTGACGGTTCTTGGGAGCGGTCGAGGGGATCATCTGCGGTGGGAGGAGTAGCAGATGGTAGATCTCGTCGCGCAATTCGCGGGGGATCGAGAGGAGGTTTGGGGGAGACATTAGGAGGAGGTTGGTAGTGTGTTAGTGGGGAGTGTAAGGAAGCGCGATGGAGTTCTAGAGTTTAAATGTCAAATGAATAGTGATCACGATGCTTAATTGTAGAAGGAGGGTATGTTTATTTCGGTCCGATTGCTGCTGCCTAGGAGATGTTCGCGTTTGTTGACTTCGGCTATGACATGACTCGGCAGTATGAAACATAGCTGTATGAAAGTAAGACGTGTAAAGGGTGGTTATACGCGTCGAATGGTTCGCAGGGAAAGGATGGGACGGGAAGTTGACGTGAATCTTAGGTAGATGATAAGCCACTAACTTCTTTTGTGTTAGTGGTATAATTTATACCACCCCCACACATTCGTCTCTTACCAAAATCATATCACTCCAGGTCATTGCTAGTAGGCCGATAATATACAGGCTGTGGGTATGCTTCTATGTGAACTGGATGGAGAACTGCTTATATACACTACTAAACACATCTCCTATAGTTCTATGCAATAGAAATTCGTATTGACAAAAAACCTACAGATGTTAGTTATCCGAGTTACTGACCTAGAGTGCTGGATGTAAAGAACGCTTGTAGCTGCAAATTGAATGTGTCGAGCTGGCTTGACGAGGTTGTACGCCCGGTATCAACATAGCAAGACGGTTCTTAATTGTTTGCTAACATTAATCAGCGGACCGTTAGGTTAGCAGGTATCTCGAGTTGACATAAGTATTGCCAACTTGAGGACGGCTAGGTTCGCAAATCATGTAAGATCACCTTGGGCACGTTTTTCCTCGGTAGACCTTTTCGTTCCCTCGAGGCTAAGGTCTAAACTTTGGGTGTCACCAATCTCAGTCGTCATCTAATCCGTAATAGACCCTTCGAAGACATCCAGGAAAGAGAAAAGGAACTATCTTCGAAGTAAGACAAGACTATGAGTGGATCGCCGACCCCATAGTGCACTTAACATACGTCATGGCCGATTTCTACTAACACTGAAGACCTTTGCACGAAGAGTGTGCAAATAAATGCTAGAGATAATGTGATGTACTTCTCCCTAGAACCGAGCTTGAACAGGATAAGAGATAATTGCAACAAGAATTCTACGATTAGGTTTAGCAGCTAGATCTAGTACTCTACAAACTATTCAGCAATACGCTATGCCGTGATTAACGATTAAGAGACAAAAGACTCGATATCCTCCCGATAAAAAGCACACCCTCGGCTCGTCGTACGAAGTACTACCAGCTCCCCCCCCCCCTGCCCCACTCCCACACTCCCCCTGCCTAGGCAAAAATGACTCAACCACCCCACCTTTCACCGATCCATGCAAATCTAGCCACCCTCTCACCAGCCTGCGACATTAAATACCCCTCCAGTTTTTGTTCCAGCCCGGGTTCTCCATTATATATCGTTTAATTTTACAACCCTCCATTCTTCCTACCAAGAGCACACGAATCTCTCAACGAGATTGCAGGACCCGTGGCGCAATGGTAGCGCGTCTGATTCCAGTCACTTGGAGCATCCAGAAGGTTAGGCGTTCAAATCGCCTCGGGTTCAAGTCCCGCCCTATGGTATCGAATTATTTTTTGGGTCTTTTTTTTGGTTTTGGGGTTCTTTGTGGAGGAGCGGGGCAGAGGGGTGAAGGGATAATGTGTTTTAGCCGAGTGATAGCGGCAGGCGGGGTTAAGCTGTGGCTTTACAACCCGAGGTACATGTTGCTTTTTTGTGGTTGGTTTAAGTTCGTAGGTCTAGTTGGGATTTGTGATAGATGGACGGGATCTTTAGTTGCATGGTTTCATATTTACATATATACACTTTTGATGTTTGTTTGCGCCTCACATATGTATCTGCACGCAGTCTACCAGGACATTTATGCGTCCAGCCGTCCCTCAGGTCACAGCCACATCCCCATCATCTTCTTCCTCCTCATCCTCCTTCCGATAAAGAAAATACTGCACAAACACAAACCCATCCAACAACAAGGTCCCAAAGCTTCCCAGCAACCAAGAAAAATTAACCGCAATATACCTCGCATAAACCGCACTCGCCTCCCCCTCCCGACAATGCCGCGGGTGCCTGCAAATCGGCGAGTACGCAAAGATCGACAGCACATACGTCAGGTTCCCGATGCACGCAAACAGGAAGAACAGCATAGAGATCCCTTCCGTGCTCTTGCGGCGGTAGTTGAGCAGCAGTTGCGGGATGCGTGAGCCTAGGTACAATACGGCGCAGATGTAGCCGAAGATCTGGCCGGGGACGTTGAAGTGGAGCGTGTCTTGGTCGGGCTGTGCGAGGTGGCGGTCCGGTTGCTTGGAGCGGTTGCTGAGCCACCAGCCAAAGACGCCGGCGGCGCAGACGAGGACGACGGCGCTGAGATTGAAGAGGACGGCGAAGAGGGTGGAGGGCGAGGGCTTTGGTGCTGGAGGGGTGGGATCCGCGGCGCTGGGTTCCGGGCGGAGGGGCATGACGGGGGAGAAGTGGGCGCCGTCGACGGAGAGGAAGCGTTCGCGGAATGAGGATTGCGAGGAGCGACGCTCCATGTCGGATACAAGGGCTGGACCGTGGCCATTGCTACTTCCGTTGCGGTTCTCTGTGCCGAGGAGAGGAGATCTCTCATCGGAGACGACTCGCCTCTCGTCATCGCGGTCGGTCGGCTTCTTGATCTCGTCTTTGAGAGTGAAGCCCTTGTAGTAGAAGCATTGCGCGAGTAAGACAATGTCGGCTAGTGTGTAGTATACAGCAAGAATGATCTGACAGGAGATTAGAAAGACTCTCTTCAGATCAATATCAAATGATGTACTAACCATAGTAGGTAAGACTCCCTGCAACACGGCTCCCAAGATATTGAAGACGTCGCCCGCCAACCACACAACGATGAACAAAACGGAAAGGCCATCGGCAGAGCCCCTCCGAAAATTCTCAATGATTTGCGGAGAGAAAACAACGACCCAGCAGGCAATAGAGATAGAACCGCAAATCCCGCTGATGGCTTCAATATCCAGTTGCAAGCCTTGAGATGGCGGAAACATTTCGTCACTCCGATACCCTCCAAAGGGTTTGGTGTTGACAGGAGGAGTGTGATTTAGACCAACTAAATGGGTACCAAGGAACCTTTCCTGATCTGAAGTATGGCCTTACGAAAGCGTAGATTCGCGGGCCAATGGTTGAATATCGATGTTCTAGAGTCTGGAGCGATGCGTCATAGGTCGAAAGTGCAGAAGGCCGGCAGTCAGTAAGAGCTATGACGTCGGTAATCACCAGTGTGCTGGTCTTCTATAGCAATTATCTGCTAAGATGACAACGGAAGAACAATAGTGATGAATGTGCAATGGCGACGAGATGAAAGTCTTTGAGGACACAAGGTTGAGGCTGAAAAGCCTGCTCGCTAAATCGTAGATCCGGGGAGCGCTAAGCTGCGTTGGGACATGACGTGGGGATCGTTAAGAGGACATCAAACCAGATTGTCTCTGATGTTCATCGAGCGAATAAAGACTCCTAGCTCCATAGTATCAATCTTGACATCGTATCTAGAAGCTTGCAAGCGAACAGGGCTTCCTCAGGCAGTGTTATACGTAGACTTGAGATAGGCCACGCAGTATGCCATTAGCTAGGTACATAGGTTAAAATAGCACTTCACCAGCCTAACTGTTGCCCGCTTAATACCATTGTCAGGAGTAGCTCAGCTGCAAATGTAAATAGCATGTCAAAAGGCAGCCTGAGAATCCTCTATAAAATGGTTTGCTTAAATCTAGTCATAACATTCATGTCACGAGTCTCATAGTCCATTGTCCTTCTTGAACTTGTCCCAAGCCTCATTTAGTGTACTGAACACGGCAGCACTTATCATCCGCTGCTCCGTCGTTGCATCTTGTGGAATCTGTAATGATTAGCATAACATGATAGAAGAAGAAGAGGAGAATCTTACTTTGTCAGGGTGGACCTTGGCAATGGCCTTCATGTAAGCGATCTTGACCTTATTTGGCATTACAAGATCGCCCATGCCGACCTTCTTCCACCCAGCCTCAGGCCATAGAACATTATCTAATGACCCGAGAAGCGCTCTCAAGTTGTCCGATTTAGTGCCTTTCCACATAATGAGCTTTGCGTCTACCTGGTCTGTCAACGCGAACTTTTCGTCGTCAGCCTTGTCCGCTGCAGCGTTGGCCTCTTTAAGCTTCTTGACAGCCTCCGACTCTGATCCAGCTGGCGCCCCTGCAAGATCTGAGAGCGCGGATCTTTTTGGAGGAGGCTTTCGCACTGGTGCCGGTTTCGGTGTGGCTGGTTTGTTGGCGCCTCCTGCAGCGCGTTCGCATCGATTGCGGCCTTGTATGCTGATAGCGCCCCCAACACCAGCCTCGACGGCATCTTTCCATACCTTCCCAGCATCGGCCCATTTTTCCATATGCTCCAGCGCCTCCGCCTTTCGCATCAGGGCTTTTCCGAAGAACTCCTTCATGTCCTTGTCTCCTTCTATACCCCCAAGCGAGATCTTTTCGTTCTCGCCGCGGGATGGCCCAATCGTGCCCAGCGCATTGTCGGCATCAGCAATGGCGGCTTTGGGATCGCCAACCTTGATGTTTACAAGGGCTCGGTTGCAGAAAACGATTATAGCTACAGGATGCGTCTCTGGCAAAGGAGACAGGGCGGCAGAGTAAGCGATGTGCGCCGCGTGGTAGTCGCCTCGTTTGAAGGCCTCTGATCCCTTCTTCCGATCAGATGCGGAGGATGATAAGGCCGAGGAAGAAGCAGGTGGGATTCGCCGTGGAGGCGGCTTCGGCCGGGTGGGCAAAGGAGTGACAGATGGCGATTTTGCAACCGGTGTCACCGTTCGTTGGGCGAACGGGTTCCGCGACTCTAGGGGGGTTGGTTGACGAGAGCTGTTTGACGAGTTTGGCGTCTCGATAGGTTTGGTGTCTGTCGTAGGCCTTTTCCGTCGAGCTGGACTGACGTAGGCCTGCGCAGCTTGTTCTTCTACAGCCTGTCGCGTAAGCTTCTCTGTAGGCCGCTTCTCAAAATGCTGTGGCCGCTGTTGAGGAATTCGGGGCTGGGATAAGGGTCGTTCTGGAAGGGCAAACTCGTTTGGTCTTTTTTCCTGTTTCGACGAAGGTAGCTGTGAACTCGACGCAGGTTGGCGATGCCCCTTTTGTGGCCGAGACATGCCAGATTCTAGCAAAAGTGCCTCGTCGGTGACATCTAACTGAGGCTGAGGTGCCTTTTCTCTGCTCCCAGGGTTTGGACGCGCCTCTTGTTCTGCTGCAAGCTGAGCGTCTCTCATCCATTTAGGTTGGCCACTGTCACCCTCCTGTTGAAAGTCAGCCACGGCTTTTTGAACCTTCTTTTGACTAGTTTTCCACAACGAATTTGCCGACTTGAAAAGGGTGGTCCCAATATCTGATGCGTACTGGGTGACGTCCTTCTCACCACCTGGAGACTTGTTATCTTGTCGGCGCTGAGAAGAATGGGAGCGGTCGTCCTGTCCCCTCATCCAGGCGGGGTTTCCCGCATTTGACGCTGCACTTCTACCATTGGGTCTGGAGGTTGTCCGCGGTAAATCTTCATTGTCTTCGAGGGGAGTACGACCTCGTCCATCGCGACCGCCTTGGGATTTCTGTTTGGCTTCATTGTGTGCTTGAGTGAGGAGCCATCCTACTGCAGCTTGAACGTCCGTGCCAGATTCTGTCTGTTCGAGGGCGTGGGCAGATTTGTCTGATGGGAAACCCATATCGACCAATTCTGCAACAGCCTTGTCACGGGGATCATTGAATCCAGTGTCAGACTCGAATTTTTGTTGAGTTTCTACTGGAGTCCGCGTCCTAGTTTCAACTCGCTTTGGTGGGGCGAATTCGGATACCGGCTTTCCCAGAGCACCCAATATGTCGTCGTCATTTTCTGCTGCTATTTGTGGCACTGTAATCGACGGGCGTTGTGGCAACTGGCCCAATCCAAATGGGTCATCATCGTCGCCGAGAAAGCTGTTGCCTTGATATTCGGGAAGCGGAGTGTGAGTTTTCGGAGTGTATGCCGCAGGTGTACTTCGACCACTTAGACCAGGTTTTGGGAAGTTGGTAGAAGCGTCGACAGGGGCGGCAGAATTAAAGGCAGAGAGCAGATCATCGTCAGCTGCCGAAGACGGCGAGGAGCGCTTCGAGGTGTCTAGTCCAGCAAAGGGCTTATTGATTGTCGCGGATAGGGTGTTGCCAGATACGTTGCCATGGCCTACTGGTGACTTTGACGGCGGAGGCGCCGCCTTGCCACTGCCCAGCGTGTCCCAAAACTGAGCGTCGTGTGCTCCAAATTGGTTGTCGTATTGTTTTTTTCTCTCCGCTTCCTGGCGCGCCTTCTCCTCCTGTAATTGTCTCTGGCGTTCCTGGAGCGAGAGATTATTTGCTGGCTTGGAATTGAGGGAGAGCAAGGTGGAAAAGCTGTCGTTCGCGGGCGTCGCTGGTTTTGAGGGTGGCTTGAGGCCGCGATTATTCGGGACAGATCCAGACTGCTGAGCGGACAGCGGTGTCGAGCGCCCGGACAGCTGAGGGGCAGGACTCTGGCGCAGAGGAGGA